TGGTCAAAGTACAGTTCCAGCTGTCTCATCAGCTCTGAAAAACTTCCAAGAATTATTTCCTGTGTGAAACAATGTGCTAATATTTCTAGGTTTAAGGTCAGCCATGCTCATTTGCAAAGCGAAACTGTGTTGCTAAGTGACAGGTTGAAGTTGAAATACATTCTTATAACCAACACAAAGAGCAGATTTCCCACGATTAAGTTTTGTAGCCTGAAGAAACCTTTAGGAATGTGTGGATCTGTAGTATGAGGTAGAAGAGAAACTTAGTCCATTGTTTTTTCAAGGAGTATGCAGTGCTTGGCAAGTTTTCTCACCTTATATGTATTAGTTTGCTAGACAATTAGATTGCATTTAGGTTTTATGTTTATATCTTAATTAACTATGTATTATTTGTGTTTTAAAATGCATGTTTGAAAGGTTTATGATTTTTCTATATTTGCCTTGTGGTAACTTGACTTGTGAAAATGTTTATGCAAGATGGTGTCATTCTCGTGTGTGAAAGAGTTTGTACACAAGTATCATCCTATAATAACAATAGATCACTGCGGATCATGTTGGCATACAGGCATCAAGAATAAAAGACAAAGAATTGGAAAGGAAAATTAAAAATGAACTACAAGTGAAAATATAGATGTTAAATTATGCATATTAAAAAGCTTCCAAAGACTTCTGCGAAGAGCTAAAAGGTATGTACATATTTCCATTTCTTAATTTTAAGCATTTCATTGCACTGTATGTTGAGGATAATAACTAGAGTTAGTGATATAGTAGAGAAAATGGAAAATAAAATATGAAATATTTTGATACTCATGTAGAAGGTTATAGAGATGATGCAAATGAAAGTGAAAATTATAAGATAAGAAATAGTATGTTTATACTTAAAATGATAATCACATTACATGTGAATTATTCAGAGTCCGAGTGCAAATAACTACATTAAATAACGAATGTTTTATTATAAACAGTAGAAAAAATAATAATTTGATATCTTGATTTTCAGAAACTACATATGCTTAAGACCTTTTATGTCAAATTTGAAACAATTTCATCCACTAGTTTCATTTTTGTATACAACTTTCACAAGAGTTAAATATCTACTACAATGTAAATAGGTCATTGTCATGAGATTAAGACACCTCCATTTGGCTCCGTTTTAGTGCCAGTCTTTATTTGGGGACCTTCCTGATACATTGGAGTCTAGGGTAGAGGCCACACATTAATAATTCCTCATTATCTCTTTAGTTTCTCGTCTTTCCCAGCTCTCTTCTGCTTCAGTTTCTGTGTTTTGCTCCCTCTGTCTTCTTCCTGGGTTTAAGCAGAGAGTCACCAAATTGCTCACCACTGTGTTTTTCAACACCAGTTGTGTGTAGGTGACTATCCAATAGGTTCTGGTATGGTTATGGCACAGTTGGCCAGGTTTGTTCAACTGTGGAATCTGTTCACCACAGATCTGTGGGTTCTTCAAGTTCTATCAGAAAGACTTTCCCTTCTTTTTCTCTCCCCCCACTTTCCACACATCCCATTTCCTTCTCTCCTCCACAGGATTCCATACTTCAGGACAGCATCTCTCAGAAGCAGTTTGAGTTTTTTGACACAAGGGTGCTATCAAACAACTACATCACCTTTCTCCAGGGTTCTATTTCTGGCTATCCATGATTCTCGAAATGACTGGGAATTGGCATCCTATCATCGGCCTATTCAACCTCAAATGCATCATTAACCTCCCTCAGCTCATCATGGAGTATTTCCTCATATTTTAGTAGGCATTCAGTCCAGGTCTCTGGATGATGAAGATCAACATCTCAATGGATACCTTTATATACCTATCTCTCCTGCTTCCAGGCATTACCTTCATTTGGTTCATGGATGTCGAGTTTTCCTATTATGAACTCCATCTTTTGGTCTGGCATTAGTGCTTTATGTCTTATGTCATGTGTTTAGAGCCTTTGCCTTCCATCTTCACAATCAAAGTTTGTAATTCCAGCACTACATGGATAGCTGGTTTGTTTTAGCTCCATCCCAACAAGCATCTCTCACTCATAAACATTTCCTTCTACAGAAGGCTGTGCATGAGAGATTTGGAGAAGTCCTATCTCAACCCCACACAGTATCTGATCTATTTGAGGGTATTTTTAAACACATTCCTTGGCAGGGCCTAGCCTTCTCCTCTTCATTTGAGGTCAATGGAGCTCTAGGCTTCCAAAGCCAAATCCTATGCTTCTCTTCCTGTGTGCAAGGTTCTATCTCTTGGGGACCTTGGCATCCATGGAAATCCTTATACCCTGGAGTCGTGCAATCTCATTTGGGATCCCTTGGATTCCATCATCCTCTTTCCTCCAAGTAGACTTTGCCTGGTGGTTTAACAAAGACAACACCTTGTCTGGCATTCCTCTACCTCCTTCCTATCTTGATTTGCGCCTGTTCACTGATGCTTATCTTACAGTATGGGGAGCATATATGGATTCTCAGCAGGTCTAATCTCCCCTACACATCAACATATTGGAACTCATTGCAGTTTGTCAGGCCTTAGATAATTTCCTACGTATGGTACAGGGCCATTTGGTCATGATCCATTCCAACAATTTGACCATAATCTGTTACATCAATCACAAAGGTGTACCCATTCATGTTTGCTTTCATTTCAAATCTTGAATCTCCTTTTGTTGGTCCAATCCCAGTAAGTCTGCTTTCTTGCTTGTCACATCCTGGGTGCTCTGAATGGTTCGCTCCCCCCCCCCCCCCCCAGTGGCACAGCGGTGTGTCTGCGGACTTACAGCGCTAGAATCCTGGTTTCGACACCCGTGGTGGGCAGGGCACAGATAGCCTATTATGTAGCTTTGTGCTTAATTATAAACAAACAAGCAAATCTGATGGTTCCGCGTTTTACCTTGCCCAATCTTGAGAGGTTGCAATTACGCTGTCATTGAAGTAGCATAAAAAGTTTTAAAACAAAAGAGTATACTTTAAATTCCTAAGTTAATAATCATATCGTAGAAGTTCAGGCAAGCAAAGTATTATATTTTAGTGGTAGCTTTATTCTAAATGCTATTTTTTAGGGACTTAATTTTTCGCATTTTACCTATTTTACGGAAAGCTTTTGAATGTGTTTGGCTTGGTTCTGAACGCCATTACGTCAGTCAGCAGAGAAAAACGTTCCGCGTTTTACCTAGTGTACTATCGAAGTACTAGTATGTACAAATGTCACTAGCTCATCTTCCTGAATAGAGAATCATATTATTATTATGAATTGAGTATAAATGATAAGATAAATTATTTTACTTAGATCTGATAACTTACATGCAAGAGGATATAAAAAATTATCTTTTTCAGTTTAAAACGCTAAGCTTAATTCACTTGTAAATAACTTCAACTAGCCATGTCAGTAAATTTTAACCCTAACACTCGTGTATGAACTTTTTTCATAAAAAAAATATTTTCAGTTAATAATGAAATATGATGATTAAAATATACAGTCAAAGGATAAAGCATGTTTGTAGATGCTATAAAGAATGAAAAAGTCATGTACGGTTATTTTCAGTTCTTTTCAAAAGCACGATTTTCAAGACATAAAACAAAAGATTAATACCCTTAACTAAGTATAACATCAAATTATTAAAGTGTCAAATTTTATAATAAGCACCACAAACTTTCCTATTTTAAAATACAACACGCAACGTTTCGTTACGCACTTCGCTTGTCATTCTATGATTTAACAAACTGAGATATAGTGCACTGAATGAGCTGGTACTGAAATTGACACCTAACCACTAAGATCACTTAAACAATTTTTAAGTTGAACACGATCAGACGCCATTTTATGAACGAAAAAAAAAAAGACTAGAAAAAAATTTAAATACCGATCATAGATGACAGAGGAAACGTTAAATCGCAAGGGGAAATAATAAAAACAATTTTAAAAGAAAATGTTTTAGCCTAGAGAGAGCGCTTATTTACACTTTACAATCTAAAATATATCTTGGATTTTTTGTTTGTTAAATTTCTCTTTAAACTTTATTAAATAAAACAAATTAGCAGAGGCAATTTAAGAGTATATTATTACTTAAAAAATAAATTATAAAATACAATTTGAACTAAGTTTTCTATATATGTTTTTTAATTTACTCGTACCATTTTGCCCTTGGAGCAAGACAAAATGGATGCGGTAGGCAAACATTTAAACATTCTGCACATGTGTCAAAAGGTTCTAAATAACCATAAAAATACAAGTATCGAAATATTTTAGTTTTTGATAAAAACTTTTAAATTTATTATAAATGAAGCTTCAGTGAGTTAAGGGGAAAATATTCAGGATTATAACTGTACACAATGGAATATTTGCATTATTTCCATCACGGGGAAACAAACTAGGATTTTAGCATTATAAGTCTATAAACGTAAAGCTGACGCACCGAAGGACTTAAAATTGTAACCTTTACAAGCAGAAAGGATGGGACTTGACAGAGCATTCGGTTTATTAATTTTTGTTATAATATAAATTTGCAGAGTACTAGAAGCGGAAGATCACAAACAATTAAACGATTCATTGCAAAGTTGGCTGGACTTTAGTGTTAGAAAGGAAAATAGGTTTTTAAAATATTTAATTGATTATTCGCAAATTCATAAATAATAATTAAGTTTGACAAATTTTCGTAACCCGAGAGGTCATATGTAAGTACACAAACGTTTAACATAGAAATACGGGTTTGACTCATCATGGAGGCCAGTGTACAGATAGTATAACGTAGTTTTGCACCAAGAAAAAGAATGACAAGTTATTCGTATAAATTATTCACGTAATCCAAACTATGGAAAGAGAGCATTAAATATAAAGACTTTATAGCTCTGCAGATATTAATAGCAATAACAAATATTCCGAAGCATGCGTAAAACTTACTTAAGATTCGGTTGGAAGGATTTTGGTCTAGACAACATTGCCCACCTCCTATAATGAAGAGACATAATTTTAGAGCCGTTTTGTGTTTCATACCTTCAGGAAAGGAATCTGAAAACTGCAATATTTTCATCAATAGTCATACACTTCACTCTTCCATAACGTGTTTAAGTTGAACTTGAATAAGTTAAGTACTATTTATGATATTATTTTGATGAAAGTTGTTTCTGAATACGTTTTATATTATTTTTGGAATGAAAATGAAGAACAATAAACAAAGAAAAGGTAACGTTGGAAGTAATATCTCAGATGCTAATTCGCAGAAGTTCAACGAATCGGATAAAGGAACATTAGGCCTAACTCTAAGCCTTAATCATAATGGAAATGAAGAGCATACTGAAAGTGTAATACATACATCAGAATTTATGAATTTTTCACCGAAAGAACGAGAAGCCGCACAGAAAGTTATAAACAATAATACTAAGAAGAAAAAGACTATTGCCAATGTTGACAATCATGATGTCGAACTTGAAGACAGTTTTAGAGCTTTTAACGAAGATGGAGGAGAGAATTTATCAACTTTAACACTTTCGGAAAGACTTGAGAAGGAAGATGCATTTATTCAGAGTTTGATAGATACTATACCACCAAAATTTTATTTTGACCAAGAAACTCGAGAGTTAATTACTGCTGAAAAGCATGCATATGCTGAGGAGAAGCAGACGGGTAATTTCTTAAGTCTTGCTAAGTAGTACTAGTAGTAGTAGATCAGATATTTATTTACTTTTTGTAAATTTGTTTCAACTTCCACTTTCAAGTAACACTAGCCTCACACTGTTACCCTAATATTCTTGCTATTATTGCTACTGCAGAAATGTCTGACCTAACATCCAGCATGTTACTTTTTGTCGATTTCCCCTTGTATGTTTATCTGTTATTTTTAATATTTACTTTTAAATTAAGAAATTGAGTAATGTATAGTACTAAAATTTGAATTATAATCTACAGTTTGATACCAAACTTGACATAAATTCATGAAATAGAAGTTCAATACACTGTTAAATGCGAGTCAACAAACAAGATGACATGGACTATTACCCATGACCAGCTCGAAAGGGTTAAAACTTGCAAATACTTTATTTAAATATTAAGGGGATATGTAAATCCATTTTTGTGTTTCATGTAGTATGTTGAATGTATCATTGGTTCAAATTAGATGTTTCTGAAGTCAAAATACTAAGTCTAAAGTTTCGTATGAATCATAAACTCAAATTACCAATATTGAAAAGCTAAAATATAAAATTAGAACATCTTATCTTTTCTGTTTGCTAAGATATTGCTCATGTAATAAACCAAACACAGTGGCACCATGCCTACCTCTTTCCATTTTTGGAAACACTTCCTTATATACACTCACTTATATATTAGACATGAATAACCAATCAGAAACTCAGAATATCTCCCTAGTGGCTCTCTCAGCCATTTCAACGGACTTGGCGCCATTTCTTTCTTTTGAGCAAACATTTCAACAAAGTAGGGTGTGTCTTTAGTCTGCTTGAAATTTCATATTTTTTTTAGACTAAAATACATTTTAGTTACTAAGCTTGATAAATTATAGTGGAATTCTATGGTATTGATGTAGTAATTTATGATTTTTCAGTTATTCAAATGTATATATAAAACATAAAAAAACCTTTTGTTTCATATTCTCCACGAGCAAAATTTTTATAGGCTTAGCAACCTATGTCAAGCAGCAACTGAGTGCAAAGGTTGTAACGAGAATATATAATTGTTTGCTTTACTTCTCTATTTACTGTTCTATGTTTTAAGAAAAATAAGAACTTATTTCAAAATAGCGATAATCTGTATACATATATAATGTATAATAATTGAAATGTGACTGTATAATTTAGAAAATACTAGTCTACTAAAACACAGCCAAGACAAGTTACTTTGTACAGACCAAAGGTCAGTTTTATGTTATTTGATAGGGTAACATGAGTGCACATGAGCCGCGTCATTGTAACTTCTGTATTGTTAGCCACGCACGACTAAAAGGTCAGTATAATAAATATATATATATATATAAATGTATAATATTATGACATGTAAGTTATTTAGTCTAAACATTTATGTATTCGTGTTATAATTTGTGTTAATTCTAGAATGAAAGAGGCATAATTTATATTTATTTCCTAATTTTTTATGGTGGTTATGAGATTGGTCAAATTTACTGAACCCATACAGATATTAATTACTGAAAATAACAGATAAAATATAAAACTTTTCTTAAGAAATATTTGATAACGAATTGGACATTATAAAGATTTTGCATGTGAAATTTTAAAATTTTCTAATGCATAAAAGTATTTTTAATCTTAAAATGAAAATTACTTTGCATGTTAGATAGGCAACATGTGAAAAAAAAGGCATGAGGCATTGCTTTACAAACCTTAAAACTTAACAAAAAAAATATGATACTTTGCATATGAAAGCAATGTTTACTGATAACCTACCAAATTTCGTTAACATTCGCTTACTAATATAAAAGTTATAGCATGAAAACTATAACAAGCACAAAATGGTTATAAGGTTGGTCCCAGGGACTGACCCCGTGCTGAAAGAGGTAAGTGCACATATTATTTGGACAATAAATGACCATTTGGTTGCCCTTCCCACCTACCCTTGAGAGAATAAAAATTTGATCCTACTCTTGACTTTTCAGGAAATCATTGGTTACCCACTAACTTCTGTAAAATTCTGGCCTCCGCTATTATCAGTGACAACTCCTTTCATAAGCCAATCACTTTGTTATGCTTATAATTAACTGGAGCTTAATGTGTTTCTCAAATCGTAAATTTCTGTCCTCTCATCCTATGATCTACAGAATATAGCACAATGAAATCTGAAGTTTTTATTGTGTTATTTCCTCAGATAATTTTCTATACTTCAGTAAGTCTTACCTATATCCCATCTTCTCTTTCTCAAGAGAAAATAGACAAAGGAAGGAATATAACTTTTGAGAGGCAACAATTCATCAAGAGTCCAATCATGCAGTGTAAGAGTTGGCTGAAAATGTTTTCCATTATTAAATTTTCATGTATCTTTTAAGTTTAATTACATGCATTGTGTCTTTATTTAATGTTTGTTTCAAACATTAGAAGAATAGATTTTGAATATACATTTACTGGTAAGGTTACAGAATATAATTTGGGTCTGTGGATATCATTCATCCTCTAACCAAAACAATCTGAAAGTACCTACTATCAACAAAGTACGTATCCATAAAAAAAAAAGCATATCAAACTATTGCAAATGAAAACTATAGTAATTTATAGGATAATATTGATCTTGTGTCTTCAGTTGAAGTTCAGGTATTCATTTGTGTTTAATCATTGGTAATCCCATTGATAGTAAAGAGATAATTAAAAGCTTTGAAGCTATAACAGTAGAAACATTTGGTTTCAGTAATTTTGACACTAATCTTCTCGTTGATCAGGTAAATTACTTTCCCACATTAGTAAACACAGAACTTTATATATAGCAGTGTGAATCACAAACAATACCACTGTTACATATTTACAGATGTCCCTTCCTGTTTCCCTTCAGTCCAAATTCCTCTGGTGGTTAGACAGGGACAGCATGACAGTGGGGATACCTATTCCTCTCTCGGTCTGGATATCCAAGTCTTCATAGATGCTTCATTGTTAAGATGGAGGTATACTGCAGTACACAGGAAATCTTGGGCTGTTAGACTTGGGAATAGTTAGGTCTTCATATCAACCTTTTGGAACTCCTTACTGTAGTGCATGGCAGTTGTGATTCATTCCAACAACTTGACTGTTGTCTCTTACATTACCTGACAAGGGGACACTTGATCCCGGTCCTTATATTTCAGCACTCTAGACCTACTCTTCTGTGCTCACAGCCATCAAATTTGTTTGCTGGCTAGTCACATACCGGGTGCCCTCAATCTTGTCGTGGTTTGTATGGCCCATACCAACAAGATTCTACCCACCAAGTTGTCTCTCAACCTCCAGGTGTTCTGATGGTTATGTTCTCATTTGGATATTCCCCAGCTGTATGCATTTGCCACTCAATTGAATGCCAAACTTCCTCTTTTGGTCCCCAGTTCCACATCCTTTGGCTTTGGCCATGGATGTGTTAAGCCGTGATTGGAAGGACCTCTTCCTTTATACATACCCTCCCATTCTTCTTCTACCTGAGTAATTATTCTCATCTGTTTTGCCCTGTGTTGAATGCCGCTATGTTTGATTTATTATGTGAGCAATATCTTGGCAAATAGAAAAAATAAGACCTTATTTTATATTCTAGCTTATCAATATCTGTAATTTGAGTTTCTTATGCATATGAAACTATAGACTAAGTATTTTGACTTCACAAACATCTAACTTGAACCAGTGCTGCATTCAGCATACCATGTGACACACAAAACTCTATGTTTATCTGGGTTTTTT